ACTGGGTTGGTGACACTGGGTTTGGTGACCCTGGGTTCGAGACACTGGGTTTGGTGGCACTGGGCTGGTGACACTGGGTTGGTGACACTGGGTTGGTGACACTGGGTTGGTGGCACTGGGTTTGGTGACACTGGGTTGGTGACACTGGGTTGGTGGCACTGGGTTTGGTGACACTGGGTTGGTGACACTGGGTTGGTGACACTGGGTTGGTGACACTGGGTTTGGTGACCCTGGGTTCGAGACACTGGGTTTGGTGGCACTGGGCTGGTGACACTGGGTTGGTGGCACTGGGGTTGGTGACATTGGGTTGGTGACACTGGGTTTGGTGGCACTGGGTTGGTGGCACTGGGTTGGTGACACTGGGTTGGTGACACTGGGTTTGGTGACACTGGGTTTGGTGACACTGGATTGGTGGCACTGGGTTGGTGGCACTGAGATGGTGACACTGGATTGGTGACACTGGGTTGGTGGCACTGGGTTGGTGGCACTGGGTTTGGTGACACTGGGTTGGTGACACTGGGTTGGTGACACTGGGTTTGGTGACACTGGGGTTGGTGACACTGGATTGGTGACACTGGGTTGGTGGCACTGGGTTGGTGACACTGGGTTGGTGACACTGGGTTGGTGGCACTGGATTGGTGACACTGGGTTGGTGACACTGGATTGGTGACACTGGGTTGGTGACAATGAGTTGGTGACACTGGGTTGGTGGCACTGGGTTGGTGGCACTGGGTTGGTGGCACTGGTTTAGCCACACTGAATTTGGTGATCAGCTATTGATGGGGTATTGATCAGGTATTGATGGGGTATTGATGAGGTATTGATGGGGTATTGCTCAGCTATTGATCACCTATTGATGGGGTATTGATCAGGTATTGATGGGGTATTGATCAGAGGGTATTGATGGGGTATTGATCAGCTATTGATGGAGTATTGATGGGGTATTGATCAGGGGGTATTGATGGGGTATTGCTCAGCTATTGATCAGCTATTGATGGGGTAATGATGGGGCATTGATCACCTATTGATGGGGTATTGATCAGGTATTGATGGGGTATTGATCAGAGGGTATTGATGGGGTATTGATCAGCTATTGATGGGGCATTGATCAGCTATTGATGAGGTATTGATGAGGTATTGATGAGGTATTGATGGGGTATTGATGGGGTATTGATCAGGGGGTATTGATGGGGTATTGATGGGGTATTGATGGAGCATTGATCAGCTATTGATTAGGGGGTATTGATGGGGCATTGATCAGCTATTGATGAGGTATTGATGGGTATTGATCCGGGGCTGTGCTGTGCTGTCCCCAGGCTCGTGACCAACTACGCCTCCTTTGCCGTGGGGGAGCTGCTGCTGCTGCTGCTGACGCTCTGCTCCCTGGCCGCCATCTTCCCCAGGGTGACACCTCGGGACACCTGGGACACCTGGGCACACCTGGGCACACCTGGGGACACATGGGGACACCTGGGACACCTGGGACACCTGGGCACACCTGGGCACACCTGGGCACACCTGGGCACACCTGGGGACACATGGGGACACCTGGGCACACCTGGGCACACCTGGGCACACCTGGGACACCTGGGGACACATGGGGACACCTGGGGACACCTGGGGACACCTGGGGACAATCTTGGTCACACCTTGGGGACATCCTGGCCACACCTTGGGGACACCTTTGGGGCAATCCTGGTCACACCTTGGGGACACCTGGGGACACCTTGGGGACATCCTGGCCACGCTCTGGGGACACCTTGGGGACAATTCCTGTCACACCGTGGGGACACCTTGGGGACAATCCCTGTCACACCTTTGGGACAATCCTGGCCACACCTTGGGGACATCTCAGCCACAGCTTGGGGACACCTGGGGACAATCCTGGTCATGCCTTGGGGACAATTCCTGCCACACCTTGGGGACAATCCCAATCACACCTTGGGGACATCCTGGCCACACTTTGGGGACACCCTGGGGACAATCGCTGTCATATGTTGGGGACATTTCGGTCACACCTTGGGACACCTGGGGACAATCTTGGTCACACCTTGGGGACATCCCGGCCACACCTTGGGGACACCTTGGGGACACCTGGGGACACCTTGGGGACAATCCCTGTCATACCTTGGGGACACCTGGGGACACCTGAGGACAATTCCTGGTCACACCTTGGGGACACCTTGGGGACAATTCCTGTCACACCTTGGGGACATCATGGCCGCCGTGTCCCCCGTTGTCACCTCAGGCCTTCCCCAAGAAGCTGGTGGCCTTCTCCACCTGGATCGACCGCACCCGCTGGGCTCGCAACACCTGGGCCATGGCGGCCATCGCCATCGTCACCGCCGCCGACATCGTGGACATGGTGAGCGCGGCCGGTGGCCACAGCGTCCCTGCTGCTAGCCCCGCCAAAGTGTCCCCAGCTCGGCTGGCGTGGGGACCCTGGGGTGGTGGCCAAGGGGCCACCTCGGGGTGGGGGCTGTGAGGAGGAGTCCAGATATGGCGGCTCCATCAGGCTGGTGGCCATGGTGGCCACTGTGTTCCCAGATTGGCTACCATGGGGACCATGGTGTGGTGGCCAATGGGACATCGGGGCCACCACAGCTGTGTCACCACAGGGTCATGGCTGTGAGGAGCAGCCCAGATATGGCAGTGAAGTCACCCTGGTAGCCACGGTGGCCACCATGTCCCCACTGTGACTCCAGCCTCTTGTCCCCAGCTTGGCTACCTTGGGGACCATGCTTTGGTGGCCAATGGGGGCAGTGGCTGTTAGGAGCAGCCCAGATATGGCAGCTCCATCACCCTGGTAGCCACGGTGGCCACCACATCCCCACGCTGACCCCAATGCTGGTGTCCCCAGCTTGGCTACCATGGGGATTAAGGCATGGTGGCCAACGGGGGTGGTGGCTGTAAGGAGCAGCCCAGATATGGCAGTGAAGTCACCTTGGTAGCCACGGTGGCCACCATGTCCCCGCTGTGACTCCAGCCTCCTGTCCCCAGCTTGGCTACCATGGGGACCATGCTTTGGTGGCCAACGGGGGGTGGTGGCTGTAAGGAGCAGCCCAAATATTGTAGTGAAGTCACCCTGGTAGCCACAGTGGCCACCACATCCCCACGCTGACCCCACCCTTGTGTCCCCAGCTTGGCTACCATGGGGACTACATCATGGTGGCCAACGGGGCCACCTGGC